CAAAGTTTATAGAATTCTTTTGTAAGTATTTCACATTAATACAATTCTTTTACAATATTTTTTATTGTTTTACATTTACATTAATCTATAGTTAGTTCTACCGCTCATATGTTTTAATTTTATTACTTTACATTTATGTTTACATTTACATTAGTATATGGCTTGCTCTAACATTTGTTTAATTTTATTTACATCACTTCAATTATGGCTAGCTTTCTCACCTATTATTTTATGTCTTAATTACATTGTTTCATTTACATTTGTTTTATTAACCTCATGTATCACATTACATTTTATTTAATTTATATTTGAGTTATCAATTAGTCATAATTTTCGGTTATACTTCCTTTACATTTATAATTTGATCCTTATATATATATTAAAGTTTTTTTTTATAAGTTTTAGAGATTTTTCTTTCCTTATAGAGCTACTAGGTATTTATCTCAATCCTAGTGCCGCCATGTAAGATATGTGAGTGATTTTTTTTTCGAGTTAATAGTATCAAGGTTAAACAAATTAGCATTTGATTGAAAATGAAATTAGTTACATAAGCATTATTCTTATACACAAACTCCTATAACAAAACTAATAAAACTTTAATGTGTGTAGAATTCTTGTATAATACAAATTGGACACTCCATGTGTGTATGTGTGCACGCACGCTTATTGCTCATGCTTTCTTAATAGAATTCTTTATGTTTTCCTTCTAAGTTTTATTCAATACTTAATTTAATACAACTTTTTTTGTACTATTTTTAATTCATCATTTTATTTTATTTTGTTCAATTAAAAATGTATTTTTTGTTAACATCCAAATTTGTGCCCCATTCATTTTTTAATTTTGAGTAAAAAATAATTAAAAAATAAAAAAAGAGAGATAAAAAGAAAAATTAGGATTTGGGTCCAATTACAAAAATTTGAAGGACTAGACCTAAGAAAATTTTAATTAGTTGCCTAATTGAAAAAAAAAACATCTAATTGAAAGTGTGACTAGAGAGAAAATAAAGAGATAAAGTTTGGAATTAAGTAAAAGAAAAAAGACGGACAAATTGGATTTTTACCCAAAATCATAGGAAACTCCACTATTAAAACCATTTTTCTCTCTCCAAAAAAAGGGGGAGCCATTTTTCTCTTCTTCTTCAACCTAGAGGAAAGGAGTCACTTTTACTTTTAAAATCAGAATCATCAACACCAATCATCCCAAAATACAAATTGAACTCTTAAAACCTCAATAGTTGCCGACCATAGGTCCACTAAAACCCAAAATCTAAAGGCCTCCACTTTTAAAAACCCACAAAGTCGTTAACCTCCACACCTAAAAAAAAAAACACCCATAAAGACACCGCACCATAACTCCCAAAAGCTCCAAGAACGTCCAGCCATAGCTTTCAGCTCCAAGCCCGTCAATCATCTCCTCTACAACCCCAAACTCGTCGACTAACATCCAACTCTAAACTTGCTAGTAACAACGACCCACAAGCTATCGATTGCATCTCCTTTCCATCCTAAATCCACTCGCCAAACAACTCCAAAAAAGCTTTGGAACACCTCCTTTTCAGCCCCAAAACTAGCTAGCCATAACCTTAAAAAATCATAAAGAACCGCCAACCATAGAAGCTTAAAACCCGTCAATAAAAAATTATATCTATCAAAGTTTCACTAAACCTTGAAACTTAAAATCATCTCAAAATCCTAAGTTCAAATTTCAATCAAGGCAAGATGGTGATGATTTCAATCAAGAGTTAATGGAATTTCCATAATATACCAATCAAAATCTTATTCTATTATTGATGGAGTAAGCAAGAAATGAAGAGAAAAAAAATCTTGATTTGTTGGTGTAAACCTTATCTCTCTAGTCGGCAATATTGTTTTATCTTCATTGGAGGGTTGAAGAAGGTTCTACCACCTTTTCTCACTCTTTGAAGCTTGTTGAAGCGATTGAAAACAATTCCAAGCATCTTTCAAAACCAAACTACTACCAAAAGTAGATTCGAGTATTTGACCTAAAAAGGCAATTTGACATTCCTATAAAGGCGAACTTAGTCATGGTAATTAATCGAGTAAGTTTTTGATATCTTCCTATACGAATTTAAATAAATATGGATGAATCTTGTGATTGGATATGGTGCTTATTGATTAAATATGAAATTTAAAGTGTGTTTAGATACGACGATGTGTATCGAACCCTAAAGGGTCCGAGATCCGAGTGTATTTTGAGGAGAAATAAGATTGATGTCAATGCTCTACGATGGAGTTGAAATGATAGAAAATGAGTTTTAATTTTAATGGATTCTCTAGGACGAGTGTCGTTCCTAGTATACGTAATTAAGCATGCCATAATGTTTATGATATGATTGATGAAATGCTAATATTCATGTTGTATTGTTTGTTGTGATATGATTGAGTAATGTGAATGTGTGTATGTGATAGACAATCAATATTGGTTTAGAAGATTGATGTCATTTTTATGAGTTCTAGTTTTGTAGTTGTTAGAGACTCATTATTTTTTTATGAGTTACGGCTTGTAGTCATTATGTACTCGTCATTTTTATTAATTATAAGCTTATAGTCATTAGAGGCTTGCCTTTTTTATGAATTATGGGCTTGTAGTCGTCGAGAACTCATTATTTTTTCGAGTTATAGGCTTGTAGTCAATAAGGACTCATTTTTTTAATGAGCTACGGGCTTATACTCATTAGAGACTCATTGTTTGTTATGAATTATGGGCTTATAGTCATCGGGAACTTGCCATTTTTATGAGTTTTGGGCTTATAGTCGTCGGGGACTAGTCATGTTTATGTGCTTATGGGTTGGTAATCGTCAAATACTCATCGTTTTTTATGAGTTATGGGCTTGTATTCGTTAGACACTCATCGTTCTTATGAGCTATAGGCTTGTATTCATTAGGTGCTTGTCGTTTTTATGAGTTATAGGGTTGTAGTCATCAAAGACTCACCATTTTTCATGAGTTATGGGCTAGTAGTCGTCAAAAACTTGCCACTTTTATGAGTTATGGCCTTGTAGTCTTAAGAGCTCGCCGACCTAAACATTTTATCCTTTTATTTTAGAGTAAGAAAATAGGCCTTTGACCGACTTAAATCCCAAATTACTCAATTGAGTCGCCTCGATAAGATAAGAATATTCAAATAGGCATAAACCCATAACATAGAAAAACTAGATATTTACTTTGAGCATACATGCAATGCGATCTACCTTAAGTAGAATATATAGCAATGATCTCGATCTTCTTTACCTATAACCAATCACTTACTTAAATTTCTATGTAGACCAATCATTTTTGGGTTTTTTAATTCTTTAACGCTAAGTGGCGACTCTTTTTTATTTCTAGACCATTCAAACCTAAGCGACTCGAATCGAACCAACCCCCAACATCGTGAACACCTTGTGACATTCTTTTTTAATCTTACTAAGATAAACCTTAAAATTCATATTTAGAATTTTTGTTTTACAAAAGTTAGATTTTTTAGATTTTTTTAGTAGTACACTAGCAAGCGTGGGATATTGTCTAGTTTAAAAATTTAGAATTAAAAGATATTGACAAAAGAATAAATTTAAGGAAATCCTAATATATATATATCAAATTAATATATGTGTTATATGTTTATCCGTTATTTGAAATATATATTTAATTTTTGCAAGCATGTTGCTTGCTACTTATCCTAAAATATGAGTAAATTATAAATTAGTCTCTCATTTTGAGAAATGTATTAATTAGTCCATCTTGTTTGAAAAACTAATCATTTAGTCTTCATGTTTTGAAATCTATTTGTAATTTAGTCCTTTTTTTATCCTTTTAACTTTATTTTGATTTTTTTTAAGAAATAGAAAAAGAAAAAAATGAAAAAATGAAACATTGATGAGAAAATAAAAGATTTTATGGAATAGAAATAATATTAAATTAAGTTTTTGAAACAAAATAGACTAATTTTTTTTTTTTAAACTATGGGGACTAATTTATAATTTACTCCCTAAAATGTAGACTCCAAAGTCCAATCCACGTTAAGCAACCAATGGTTTAAACAATTTTTGTGGTTAAAATTTGAAACTTAAAACTTAGAGTCTTAGGTTTAATTCTTAATTGATGGATGATAGAAAGCCCTTTGGGCCTTCGAATTAAAAAAGAAAGGGCATTATGGTCTACGCAAGTTCCGTGAATTATTTTGGTGATTGTAATACTAGCCAAAAAACAAGCTGTATGTTGCAATAAGACAGTACACTCCATCTTCGCAGCACCAAACAATGCAGCTCAGTTTTTGTTTGGTTTACGTTTTTCCAAAATAGATTTCAATTCAAAATTGACCGCATCAATGGACCAATTGATCTCTATTGTTTTGCAGGGGTGTGATGCTATGGACTTCTTTATGTCGAAATTGGATTTTCTCATCATTTACAATGACTTATAAGAAATACATGGGTATCTGTTTGTTTCAACAGATCTCAACAACTGCAATCACAATCCAATTCCCTGGCCAATGGTCATTGCCCTCTTTCTCTCTAGCAGCGTTCTCTTACTTTCTTTTTTATCAACAGTTTTATTTTTTCATTAAATAAAAAACAAGAAAAGAATAAAGCCAACCTGATAAAGGAAATACCTACCCACCGAAAAAGAGGGATGTTAAGAAAAAAGAAAAGAAAAGAAAGTAAAAAGTAAGAATAAGCGAATCACCATGGCTATAATAATCCAAAAGAGTCAATATATGAGAAAACTACAAAATATAAAGTATTTTCCTCCACCACAAAAATCTCCCAAAAGAATACTACATTCATACAAGCGCAGATGTGGTCAATTTCCCCCTTCTCGTACAAAGGAACCAGACCACAGGCCAGTGAGTAAAAATGATAATTTAACGAAACAATGTGAAATATATAAAAATGTGATCAGTACTAAATAATGAAGAGAACATGGGGGAACAAAAGATTAAAATAATAATAATATTACAGAAGTAATATGACGAGGACATCTCTCTCCCTCTCTTTCTCTAGAAGATTAAAGCAAGCAGACCCCATCCCAATGCCGCACCTCCTACCATCTTCTGCAAGCATCTTATTGTTTCCGCTCCACTCTGCTGTATTCAAGATTTACAACTCAAAAAATCAATCAATAATTATGATATTTACACTGTATTTATTTATGTACCTAAATTTATCATCTTATCTACGAAGAGCAAAAAAACATTGCCTAAAACCAGCAATAATTACCCCCAAAGAAAAGAAGATTCTAATAGTGGATTCTCATTCTATACATAACTGAATGGTGGTTGAAATGATTTCGGGAACTTCTAACATCTAATCAATAGTTGTCGTGCAAATCCCATAGATGTCAGGATTTCAATGTCCGAGCGTGCATCTCACGTTCTTTTCTGTGTTTTTTCCACACTTCCAAGTTCACAGTTGACTAATCATTTAGCACTACGCACCGACAGCAAGCACGCACAATTATCGGCTCCATTTTAGGGAAACATAAATGAGTTCTAGCTGGTATTACATTGCATTCTTAATCAAACCGTCACTAAATATTTGCACTATCATTCTCTTACCAAAAACAAAAATCCTAATCGGATCTTTACCCTTCAATTTAGGTCAACATTTTATTATTTAATTTCTACCAGATCTGTGCCTACACTGCTCTATCACACATGTTAAGCCTAATTATTATAAATAAATATATATTAGGAAACATAGATGAGTTCTTGCTGGTATTACATTGCATTCCTAATAAAACCGTCACTAAATATTTGCACTATCATTCTCTTACCAAAAACAAAAATCCTAATTGGATCTTTACCCTTCAATTTAGGTCAACATTTTATTATTTAATTTCTACCAGATCTATGCCTGCATTGCTCTATCACACATGTTAAGCCTAATTATTATAAATAAATAAATAAAGATAAAATGAAAAAAAAAAAACTTACATCGTCAGCGACGGCAGGACCAGGAGACATAGAATCTTCACTAGGTCCAGGAGCCTCCGTTGGTGGTGCGGGTGGGCCCGACAATGCCGGGCCAGGAGCCGGTGCGTGGTGCTTCTTTGGCTTCTTTTTACTAGGAGTAGGAGCAGGGACCTCTGCTGTCGGTGCAGCCACTGGCGAGCTGGTCGGTGGAGCACTAGTAGGAGGCGCAACAGGGGCAGGAGACGGAGGAGATTTTGCTGGAGCCGGTGGAGAACTAACAGGAACTGGAGCAGGTGGGGAGCTAACTGGAGTCACTGCTGGAGGTGGTGTAGCCAATGGCGTTGCCACTGGAGCTTGAACCTTCTGTTTCGGTGGAGATGCTACTGGTGTTGCCACTGGAGCTTGAACCTTCTGTTTCGGTGGAGATGCTACTGGCGTTGCCGCCGGTGGTGATGATACGGGTGCTGGTGTCGTAGATTTTGCAGGTGCTTTGGCAGGTGCTGCTACTGGTACGGAAGGAGTTTTTGGAGTCGCTGGAGTTGATGTCGGCGTCGCAGCCGGTGCTTGACCACCGACACCGGCGACAATGATGCACATCAGTGCTAAACCAAACATGCCATTCCGATCCATTTTTTTGAAAGAGAAAAGAAAGAGAAAGAGAGACTACGAGAATCGAGAATGAGTGTGTATAGGTACCAATAGAAGCGAAGACTTAATATATAGGGCCCATTAGTACAGCGCAACGGACATGATTAGGTAGATCTGAATCGTTGATTAATATAATGGGGCCCACTTTCATTAGCCGTTAGATGAACATACCAAAGGGGGCATGCTATTAATCAAGTTTCTGTTTCATTCTCCATCTATAGAAAATTATAATTGCATCCTTGATTTGTTAATTGTTTTTTTTTTTATCAAATGATGTGATATTTGTTATAAAAATATTTTTAAATTATAAAATGTGAATCTTATCATGATATAATGATAATTGTAGAATTTATTATTAATGAATTATTAATTATGGGTTTCCATATTATTTAATTAAAAATAAATATCTCAAATTTTTTTTTCATTTACACTTATTAGTATCTATGGTTGAATATGCATACGATGATTCAATTAAATTCAACTCATTTTTTTCAATAAAATGCTTGAGAGAAGAATGGATATTAATAGATAAATAAAATAAAAATTCCAGATGTTAGTAATCCTAAAGCTAAAAACTAATGTTTGTGAATGAAAGGGTTACATCGCAACAAATTCTGATAATTCAAGAGTATAATTATAGTTTTTCTTGTACGAAATCAACCGGTTTGGATCGACCAAAATTACAAAAATATTTTAGGGGGCCCACAAATTTAGGATTATTCTATCAAACAAATAGGCACCGTAATGTGGCGTTTGGACACAGTCTGGCTGGATGGGTCCCATGTTTGTCAATTTGGTGGATCAATGCATGTGATATGATAATAGTGGGAGTATTTGATTATGATTATTATTATGGAAACGTTAAGAGTGACACGTCACTAGGCCCCTTTAGTAACGGGTTTTCTTACGCAGACATAACCTATCATTTGATTCTCTATAGAGAGGGCATATTTTGTGGGTTTTTGGCTTGAGAAGGAAATTGATACAGCTGTGATGATTTAAATGGGGACGTTTGCCAGTTTGACAAACCAATTGTGGATAGCCACGTGGGGAATGGACAATAATTGCAAGAGAAGCATAGGTGACTTTAGTTGGATGTTGCCTACCGGCCACAAGCGTGGGCCCCTGTAGAAAGCTGTCTTGCAAAGCGTACCGTGAACCCAAAGTTTTTCACTTTTTGTTCCTTTTACCTATAATATATACACTTGAATGTCATGCTAAAGTGAAAGATGTGTTTTTTAAAAAATAAAAAATAAAAACTAATAGTTAGATGAAAATTTTAATTTTAATTAATGTGAAAAATAATTCAAGTATATATATATATATATATATATATATAATTTTTATTTTTATTTTAAAATTTAATCCAAAAAATCAAAGAATAAAACAAACTTTTTTAAAGATGAAGCCGACTCTTTAGATTTTATTCGATTCTGCTAGTCAATGCATACTACATCTAATAACGTGAATTTTAACATAATATTATGTTTTTTATATCATTTGAGATTAGAAGTAATAATTATGAGAATTATAATATTAATTATTTGGTATAACTGAGCTTTCAATAATTGAATTTAATTTTTTTTCATAATAATTTACTTATTTTTCACAATGAAAATTGATATGCACTAACGTCACGTTACTTAAGAATACAGCCATGCAATACAATTTTGTAAAGCGAGACGCTTGGCAAAGGCATCAAACTCCTTTTTACTGTCCATGTGTTTTAAGGAAAATTCTCTACTTTTTTTTTTTCAAAAAAAGAAAAAAGAAATGTTCTCTAGTAAGTTCCCGTGTGACACGAGTAGTAGAATCTTTGCGAAAATTATTTGTTTATATCGCCTAACCAACTGGGATTACATGTGGCACTCCTTTATTATATAATATTGTAGTCTAAAGGTCTCCTACTAATCGAGTTAATCGCATATAATCTCTTTAGTTTTTTAATTTTTTTTTAATATAATTCTTGTAGTTTTTTTTTCTTTTATTTATTTATTTATTTTTTGAACCGACACCTAGTTAAAAAAATATATATATATGTCACATCAGATTAATTTATTAAGCGAAAAAAAATTATTTTTTTAAATTAAAAAATTAGCCGAAGAAATAAAGAAACTAGCCACATAATTGTGCTGTACAAGTTTTCTCTTCATCCAATTACTGAAACAGTATGAATAAAAATCAAGCCAAAAGAAATAATAAAGAGAGAACGAGAGAGATATTGAAAAGTGAATTTCACGAAACCTTTGACAAAATCTAAAACTAGCTAGGAAAAGTAAATTCTAAAACTGTTGTTCATAAAATCTGAAATATTTGTTTTCCTGTCTAAGAAGTAAAAGTTCCATCGCAGCCACACTTCAAGAAGCTACAAATCGACAACAAATCAAAACCAAGCCTCAAATCGTCAAAAGCATCCGAATGATGGTTCGTGTGACTAAAAATGCCACAAAAAAATTGCCCCATACCACCAAAATGTCACTACGCGATTCATGTCAATTACCTCATCACTGCTGCGAAAAAGGCCGCCTGTGTTGTCCCCTAATGTTATTTTCTCTCAATCAGTTACTAAAAGGGCATCTGAATTATGCAAACAAAGATACATCTGGTTGAAGCAAAAGAGAATGCGCAAACTCACCAATAACTGGATTGTTCTTGTGGGATGTCAGCATATCATCTCAATGGCAGGAGGTAAAATGCAAAACTTCGCGGGAAGAAACCCTAGGTGTTCCTTATTAGACTGAACATAAATGCTTCCACTGCCTGAAATGTCTTCCACTTCAATAATAATAAAAAAAAAAAAAGGTACACTAAAAGATGTGAGAAAGTATAAATAACAAGACAACAATAAAATGCTTCGCCAAATTGAAACTATTACAATAATAAAAAGAATAATATATATATATATTCTAAAAATAAACACTCAAAAACTAACTTTTCTCTTATTTGCAAAGGAAAACATCAAAACTCCAAAAAGATCAACTGTTACACTACACCAAAAATAGGTATTCCCGTCGGTTTTTTCACACTTGTAGAGCGAGTTATGATTCTTAGAAGCGGTTGTCCTAACCGCTCCAAGACCGCCTCGCAATGCCGCTGTCTCTGCGAGTAGCGGTGGTTTTTTCAACCACCGGGGAAGTTTGAGGTGGTTTTTCGGGCGGTTGGAACCGCCTCTAGTAATTGGTTTTTGCGGCGGTTAAAACCGCCTCTAGTAGGAAAAACTCATCCTTAGGAATTTTTAGGATGTAATTGTAGAGGTGGTTTTGAACCGCCTCTACATTCTTGGTTTTTTTTTTTTAAATTTGACGCGAGATTTATTAGGGGTGGTTGCAACCGCCCCAAGTTGTAAAATATGCATTTTTTCTACAATATTTATAGAGGTTGTTGTAACCGCCTCAAAATTCGGAATTCATAAAAAATAATTTTGTAATTCATATTCAAATTTAAATTTTTTTTATTGGTCAAAAAAATAAATAAATTACGAAAACATTAATCTTGTTGAATGCAAATTAAAGAAAAATTATCAAATTCTAAATACATATTTAATCCAATTTCATACAATGTCAACCTATCGAGTTCCTTTCCATCCCTTTCTTCCTACAAACAATTATACATATTTAATCTAATTTCATACATAAACAATATTTAAATGTAAAGTTATAAATTATTAAAATTACCATTTCTCTTCTTTTTCTTGCACAACTTTTTCTGCCTAATGTAAAGTTATAAATTCTAGCTACTTCCTACCTTTTTCTAGACCACTAGCTACATTGATAATCACCGTGCTTTCTTTCCCCGTCATCTACGAGTTCAACACATTCTCCTCGGACTAATGACTCGAGTGGGTCGTGAACATCACAAGACCTCAACTTCCTCTACTCGATAAACTCTCAACGCCAAATAGGCATCCTCTGTCCGCATGATGGCATTGTTTTAGACCTAATCACGGAACACAAAACACAATTGTCATGAGATTATAAATCCATATATGTGTGCATTAGAGTGTCTAGAAATTGTGCAGAGACAGCTTTAACATATATCAATACGTAATCAAACTTGGAAAAATTTCATACTCCCGGGAGTCAAATTTATGAACGATAAATCACCAAAGTTTCGGATGCGATAGACTAAAAAATGAGAGGCAAAGTAGATGTTTCATACCTTGAATCCCTTCGATCACATGTCGAGTCTACATATCGTGATGTAGCAATCCGAAATTACCATCACCGACCATATTTTAGATATTTTGTTAACAATTGATGGAAGAAGGGTTATGATCTCATAACAAGGTTAATTGAATCGATCATTACGGATACTTTTTCATAAACTTGTTTCAATTTTGTAATAGAAAAAAAGTATAAAAACTAGGCTCAAATTTTCCAACTTCCATTTAAAAAATGAAAACTATAAGCAAATAAATGATAAATGGTAAAAAAATTTGACCTTATGGTTCGGTAGCCGGATGTCGGTATCCGCAGGTCACATCATGTGGGACCCATATGGAATCCACAAAAACTGAAATCTTAATGGAGTGCCGGACAATGGCGGTAGCCAAAAATTTTTCTACATGGGAATTCAATTGCTTGTTGTAATTTTGGATGATGAGAAGCTGTTCCAAATCACAAAAACGACCAAACGACCTACATATATAAGTTTTCTTGTAATTTATAACACTCCCAAGTTCATCCTTGAAAGAGGATTCTACATAATAAAAATGTAGGAACCCGAATAAACCGTTGGATTGATGCCATAGCATGACCTTCAAGCATCATGTTCGATACAATTATCTATAGTTGATAAGTTGACTAGTGTTTCTTCTTATGTATTGGTCGGTGTATTTTCTTTAGTATCACAAGGAAGAATAAAGAATCGAAATTTATAAGAAAAATATATGTTAAAAACTGCATATACAAACACACAAAGGAAACACATTTGAAAAGATCGAATCATGGTGTTATATAAGACAACATGTGCGACCTTTAACT